AGTAAGATATGGAAGGCCTTGAAATACAGACCAATGAGTTTTAAATTTTATACTGAGGACAGTACAAAACCCTTGAAGATGTTTAGGCAAGGGGGCTATATGAACACAGGTTGTTTTAAGGACATTAATCTCGCAGGAATACGCAAAGTGGTTTAGAGAAGGCAAAAACTGGAGGTGACATGGGGGGAGGCAGACGACAGTTCAGGCCAGAAGAAACGGAAACCAGAAGAGGGAAGAGGTGGTGGTAACGGGAGGAAGGAATTAAAGATCTTTAGAAAACAGTACGGGAGGGACTGGCAGTGATATGGGAGGGTAGAGAGAGTGAAGAGTCAAAGCCGAAGTGAAGAGGAAGAGCAGGTTTTAAAATAATAATATATATAATAATACACAATAATTATTCTATTATATATATTTTATATATATTATATATGTTCTATTACATATATTATCTTAATGGAGTTTGGGAAAGGAGCGAGGGAATTCGACTTGAGCACACTGAGTCTGAGGTGATGGAAGGTCCTTCAAATGAAGACATTTAAGGAAAACTGGAAAGGCAGATCTATACTCAGGAATGAAGTCACAATTAGAAGGAAAAAATTGTCAGCTATGTGATAGAGGGAAGAGATGAAGCCATAAAGTGGATGTGATCATCAAGCAAGAAGTAATGGAAGAAAAAGGAGGGTTGACAGACAGAATTTGGGGGGAACTTCATACTGAAATGTAAGGGCAGCCGGTCAAAGCATGATTATTGATGTGGGAGGCATCAGAAAAGGAAAGGGAAGAAGGGGTCAGGGAGAGGTGCCCACCGACGCCAAGGCTGGGCAGACTCAACTGAGATGGAAACACTCTTTTTAATGAGTAGGTCATTCCTTGGTAAGTTTCAAAAAAGAACTTAAATATTTCAGAGACAAAGGTTTGGAAGATAAATTTGGCATCTTTTTGATGTCCCAACCCAAACCTCACACTTTCAACTTAACTCATCCTCCATGCTTTGTTCTGTCTCTCCCAGCCTCTAACATTCTTTCTCTTGGCTTCCCTACTTCTGTCAAAGGCATCAAGGGATGAGTGAATGTGCCGAGGAAGCAGAGAAGGAAGATATCTTTCAGAAGTAACAGTAGGTATTTCGAGAAAGTCTAGCTGAACTGAATCAGAGGAGAAAGAAAAAGTGTCTTCCAAATTTCATGCTGAATTTGCATTTGATAGTTTAATCCTTAAGTACTGCCTATTTAAGGAAAACATGATAGCTCCTAAGTCAATTTATAGTTTTATTCTACAAATGCCTAATCTATGTGTTGATCTTTGTGCCATAAGACTAAGACCATAAAATCAGTTTCTGTCACTTCCCTGCTTAAAAACACTCAGTGGCTCCCCTGTGCTTAGAATACATTCCTAACTCTTTACCAAGCCTGCAAGGATGTACGGCACATGACCTGGCTCTCACCTTTTCCAGTTACATCTCCAACCATTTGGTTTCTTGCTCACTGTACTCCAGCCACACTGTTCTTTCAAAAACTGTTCCTGTCTCAGGGCCTTTGCACTTACTACTGCTGTTTCCTCTGCCTCCAACTCTTTCCAAGGACTTCAGTGGGCAGGCTCCTTCTCATTTACCTCCTATTATTCTCCCCCCATTCTGTCTTTTACTTAGCAAATATGCATTCAGTGCCTATCAAGTGCCAGGAACCTTTAAAATAGGCCTCAACATTTTCGTTATAACGGTAAACAGACAAGATCCTTGTACTCTGGCCATCTTCTCCGACTACATAATTTAAAGATAGCATTCATGCCCCCGCCCCCACCATGCACATCGTTTCTAGTTCGTTACCCGCTTCTCTTCCTCTTTATCATCTTCACAGTACTTACTGCCTGATATCATCATCTTTATTTACTCGTTTACTTCATGGTAACGTCTCCCTCGTCTTGTCTGTCTTGTACCCCGCTCAAGTCCCTAAAACGGCTACTAACCCCCGACAAGGTGTGGATTGAATGAAACTGCAGGAATGCTGTGTGACTGGGTCTGTGAGTGGGGAACTCAAGGCCACCAATGCTCCTCGCGAGCCTCCGCCCTCTCAGCGGCTCGGAGCCCGGTCTGCGACGCTGCCCGGGCCGCAGAGATGCGAGCGGCGCTCTGGAGCACAAGGAGCGGGGGCACAAGGGGAGGAAATGATCAGAAGAGGGGCCTTTGCTGTGTCTGGGGGAAGATGACAGCTTCCGAACACAGGCTTCTGAAAAACCCGACTCTCCGTGTGCTCCCCTCCTTCCACGCTCGGGCGGCCGCGCTCGGGGCCCAGAGCGCGCTCGGCTCCCGGCAAACTTCGAGAAACAGGAAGAGGACGCGCGGTGGGAAAGGACAGAGGACAGAGGGGGCGACGAAGTACTCACCGCGGTCAGGACCCTGAAATCATCCCGACTCATGTAACGCAACTTGGCCACGTTCACCTTCCCCATGGCGGCCGCGCCCGAAGCCCAGAAGCCCCTCCACCACCACCCAGAGCGCAGATCAGGTCCCGGCCCAGCCTCTCACGTGTCCCACAAGGGCTGGTGGCTCGCGCATGCGCGGCTCCTGACTGCAGGTCCTTGTCGTAAGCAGAAGTGCTATTCTCACTGCCATGGGGAAATAAAATATCTTGTGAGTTTTATGAAGCGTATAGTACAGAAAAAAGCAGAGTATTTTTTTGTAAAGTGATTTTGTCGTGTGACTGAGTTGGCGGACTCTAAGCATTTGCTACAACATGTCATTGAATTTTTCGTATGTGTCAAGACTGGCTGCTTAAACGACGCGACCCGCCTCTGAGAAGTGATAACTTTGATCAAGTTTTATCCCCAAACAGCAACTCCTACTTTAGGCAATATGAACTCCAACAAGAGTGGGGGAAAGTGAACCTGAGCGCGACTCCCGACAATCACAGCCGTTAAAGACAAAAACAACTGTAGTCACATAAGCAGTCCCTCTCCTAACTGCGCCTGCTCCGGAGGGGGGAAGGCGTGCTTAATGACAACTCTCCCGCGCCTGCTCAGTGCGGCTTTAAGGTTGTACTCGAGACTCTGGAGTGCGCCTGCGCTTCGTGGGGGTGGGGTTTAGGGTGATGGGCGAAGAGTGGAGCTGTTGCGTTCTTCTGTGCTTTTCCAAAGAAAGTGAGCGTTTTGGTGGTTCGGAGCGGACATACGCGGGTTGGATATGGAGAGCCGAAGCACGATAAGGGCTTTAGGAGAGCTAGCCACAATGGCCCTGAAACTCTGTTCAAACACGGAGCTAACCGTTTCATAAAATATGCACTGGAGTTCGAAGGCAGGCAGTTAAATCTGCCCTGTCTTTCCAGCCAGAATACCTAGTTCTCTGAAATCACAGAATACAGAAAGCAGAACCCCCTATCCCCTTTACACTACGACCTTTGGCTTCTTTTTCACTTGAATGCAGTAATCTTTGATTAACCATGCTCAACTAATGGAACTTCCATTGAAATGAAAATTTTCTTTCTGTACTTCTCATAAGAAGACATAAAAATGAAAAGTTTTTCAAGAAACCAAATGACTAACTTCTGGAGCAAGAATGGCGTGGGAAACAGTCATTTGGGTGTCTACTCCTAACCCAATTCTGTAGCAGGCATTGCTAATCTGTTATGGCACAAACCTTGCTTTACTTCTCAACTCTCCTCCAGACAACCACCACTAATTGATTGGATTTGGCTAGAATTGCTGTCTTGGTTCTGGCGTATTCCCTGGGGTTAATCACACTGAGCCCAAATCTCTTATACTTCAATATTAATATATATATATATTAATAAAATCATCTATCAGACCCTCGAAAAGTGATTCAAATATTGTTCAATATTCTGTTCTACTCTGTTATGCTATGCTTAATAATGGTTAAAACAAAACGTGCACAATATTCTTCATTCTCTCATTTACTTTTTATCAAACATATATGCCAGAATTTTTACTTGGTCCTGGGGAAACTCAATCCCAAATCTTAAGCCTTGTGGTAGAAGGAGATAAATAAAAAATTAGAGAATAGTATGACAGAGTTACACAAAAGATTTATCATATTATTATTTCCTCCTCCCAAACCCTCACTCCCTGCACACACACACACAGCTTGTCCTCACAAGCTGCAGAGGATCTTGCCTGTCTGCAGATTAAAGTTCAAACTTCTTAGGCTGGCATTCAAGATCTTCAACAATCGGTATTATTACTTGTTCTCAAGTAGTGGATAATCTTGGATGATTGAACTACTTTGTTTTTTGCTCGTACAACTCCCTTGATTACCTGCCTCACTGCCTTTTCCCTCTATCTGTAATGCTCACCTTGCCTTTTCGTTTTTCTTCTTTCCAATCACCATATATGTAAATCCAACTTACCATTTTTCAAATTCTATGCACCCCATAAGCTTGCCTTTATTATCCCTGTATTGGTTTCCTAGGGCTGCTGTAACGAATTACCACAAACTTGCTGGCTTCAAACAATAGAAATTTGTTCTTTCACAGTTCTGGGCCATGCTCCCTCTGGAGGCTCTAAGGGACATTCTGTTTCTTGCCTCTTCCAGCTTCTGCCAGCATTTGGTGACTGCTGGCATTTCTTGACTTGTGGTTGTGTCACTCCAGTCTCTGCCTCCATGGTCACATTGACTTTCTCACTTCTGTCTGTTTCTCCCTCTGTCTCTATCTTATAAAAATATATGTGATTGCATTTGGGGCTCATCCAGATCCTTGATCACATCTGCAAAGTCTTTTTCTTTTTTCTTTTGCCTTAGAGAGTAAATTCATAGGTTCTAAGGATTATAACATGGATATATTTTGCGGCGGGGGGGGGGGGGGGGGGGGGGGCATTATTCAACCTATCACAATCCCAAAGGAAAGTAAATTCTCCCTCTTCTAATCTTCTGGAGCCCTTTTTCTTTAATGATTCTATCCTCTTTTTAACCTCCTCCACTAGCCCATAAATTAGATTAATTATGGAAAAATTTGAACAAAGAGATTGAATAAAAAAGTTTAGAGTCAAGAAAAAGAAAAATGATATATTTGTGTTTAAGATATGATACCAGCTAAAACTCGGAAAAATTGTAGTTGACTTTACTGTACATAGCATATAATGCCATACATTTGAGTATTAGAGATATCAGTGGTGGGAAAAGACATGATATGGACTATAAGGATATGTGGAGTTTATGGCAAGTTCCGATGAAAGACTCACAATGCAGACTTGTGGAGTTCTGGAGCATGGCAGAATATGCAGCAGAAAGTGATACACCTTTTGAAAAACAGCTCCTGGCATGCTGCAGATCCCTGAGAGAGATGAAGAACCAAGCACTGAGGTACCAAGTGGTACTGTAGCCACAACTGTCTTTTGTGGACTGGTTTCCGTCGGATCAACCATGTTATAAGGTTGGACAAGTTTAGCAACAATCCATCATAATGTGCAAGTGGTGCATTCAGGACTGAACACAAGCAGGAACAGAGGGTACAAACAAGCTGCGTGAGTAGGTACCCTGGACTCCATGTCATTCACTACTACTGTCCAGGTGCCTCTTCTTCAGCTCGTACTACCGTGGTTGATCTCTTATGATCAGCTAGCAAAGGAAAAAAAGCCCACATTTGGTTCATGATGAGTCAGTTTGGTATTGTGGTTGAACCCTTCCCCCACTTGGGTGGCCTTGAAAGAGAAGTGATCAGAGAATATCCTTCCAATGGGCAGAGCCTTGGGAGGTGCACCTGGTCCTCCACTTTGTGCAGCAGGAGAAATAGCCCAACGTTAGAATATACATGGATTCAGGGGCAGGGATGAATAGCTTGGGTGGTTGCTCCAGGGCCTGGAAGGAGAAAAATGGTTATATTAGGGACAAGGAATTCTGAGATAGAGGTATGAGAATGGATATGGGAGTGGATAAGAAGTGTGAGGATCTTTGGATTGCATATTAATACCCACCAGAAAGTATCTAACACAGAAAAGGCACTAAACAACTGGGTAGACTAAAACCTTGTCAGTTGGCAAAAGCCAGCCTTTGTCATTGCAACCTGCCACTCTAATGAAGCCACAATTGGTATACAAATGAATTAGTGATAGTAGCAGGGAGGGAGGAGGCCATGAATGGGCCTGACAACGTGGGCTCCAAATTCCAGGGCTAAACGAGCTTCCTGAACACTTAGTTGGCCTCCAGTAGACACCAATGCTGACTGAGTTGCCAGTATGATACCATCACTTGAAGAGATTAATTAGTCACTTGCTGTCAAATTGACTACATTGGGCCCCTTCTACCATAAAAGGGCCAGAGCCAGAGATATATATGATAGTAATAGATGTGGGCATGGATTTGCCTTTCTTAGCTGCAAGGTCTCAGCTTGCACCAGGATTATAAAGCTTACAGAATGTTTGCTCTAACAGCACAGGATTGTACTTTACTGCAGAGGAGATATAGCAGTATGCGGATGACTGTGGGATCCCCGCTCATATCACATACCACACCATTCAGAAACTGCTGGATTGATAGAATGATGGGAAAGTCTATTGAAGGAACAGCTGTTGGAGGCACGGCTGAAGTGTCAGCTCAGAGGTAATATCCTGTGATTTTGGGTGGCCATCCTCTGAGAGATCAATAACTTATATATGGTCCCGAACAGGTAGAATACATGGGTCGAAGAATCAAGGGGTGGAAATAGTATTCGCTCCACCTGCTGTCGTTCTCAATAATCCACTTATGAAATTTCTGTCTCAGTAACTCTGGGCTCTGAGAGTTTGGAAATTTTGGTTTTCAAAGGAAATATTTCCACCAAGGGTCACAACCAGAGTTCAATTGAGCAATGAACTGTGGCTGCTACCTGCTCTTCAGACCACTTGTTTCAAGGAGACATGACATAAGAGGGCATACAGACCTTGGGATGAGGATCTGAATTACACCATCATCAGATAAGTCATGGAGATTAGCATTCGTGCCAGCTAAGGGTGAGAGGAATCCAGAATGGATAGTAAATGAAGGGTAATGATGAATATCACTTATAGCCCAAGACTAGCTGCAATGATGGGGTTTTCCCCATTTCCTTCCTCTTCTAAGATTCCCCCAGGAAGAGAGGCTCACTGGAATCCTGAAGGAGCTGCTTCCAGACCTTAAACAAAGAAGTGGCTCCAAGCAGCACAAAGATTGGACTGTGGTGGTCACTGTGATGTACCACCCAGCCATCCCCCTTCAGAATGAAGGCCTTACTCCTCCAGATACTGGGAGTGCTGCCCGCAGAAAGTACTTGGCTGTCAGCCTCCACTTGGATTGCATAGACTGAATGTAGCCACCTCACTCAAGGTCACACTTCCTTTCTGGGTTTGCCCAGATCCAATGACTGGACATGAACGTCTAATGGCTCAACCTCTTTGCCCAAACTCAGCATAACTCTGAAGGATCATCCTATCTTTAGAACTCCCTAGAATCAACTGAGGCCTCCTTTGGTACTGTGTCACAGTTCAACCTCTTTCTTTGCTTAATCCTGTTTCTTTCTCTGTTTTCCTCCAGGGGTTGACCATAAGAGCACTCCCAATTAATACTGCGAATACGGTACACGGTCTGCTTCCTGGGGAACTCAGCCTTCATTAACGTTTTTCTGGGCCCTCAACTTAGTGTTAATGGGACCCTGCCGTAAAAATGGGATAGTCAGTATAAGACCTCCAACTGAGAGATAGGTCGTTGGCTTAATTTTGCCACTCACCAGTTTTTTGACCTTGGGTCAACTCTTAACTTCTCTTGTTCATACAAATTTTTATTTTGAATGTTTACTATACAACACATTTTGGTAGACAAAACTCAAGTCCTTTCCTTAAGCAGCTTATAGGTCTCTTGGATCTTAAGTTCTTTATTTATGCTATGAAAGGGTAGGACTTGAATTGGTGTTTCTAAATCTTTTGTCAACTTAAGTCCCCTCTCAGGCCTCATAACCTTCATTCCATTCTGGTTGAGAATCATGCTCTTCTGGTGTATCCCTGGGAACCAAGAATATTTGGTTAAGATTTGTTTTTTGAAAATAGTATTTTCGTTTTGCGAATAGAAAATTGAGAGTATTAGATATGCCTTTTCAAACTGTACCCTCCAAGACCTTGGTGATTTTGATAGCACCGTTCACCTTAGGAACTACTGGACAGGAGATCAGTCAGGCTGGGTCCAGTCAGGGACAGAAACCATATTAGTTGCTTAAACAGAGAATTTAATATTAAGAATTAGGAATTTGGCATAAAGCTAACTAGAAGACTGAGAAGGGGAAAGGAGAATACTAAGGCACCACAACTGCCACTACTAAGGTTAGAGCAACAAAAATAACAGATTGAAGTGACTAAAATTTAGGAGCTTGGAAAAGAGGCCTCACAGATCTGAGACCCAGATCTTTGAGGAGGAGGCACTGTCACGTTGGTGCTGATAGCTCTGGGGCAGCAGGACATAAGATTGGTTTGGCAAGTGTTGGGAAAACGGCAAACTAGAATCAGCTGCTGCCATAGAAGGACAATGCTGCTGCTGGCCTGAAAAAGTGTTGGGACAGTGCTAACAAAAATGGCATACCCAGGAAGCCTGGAGGAAGCAAGCAGGGAGCAGACAGAAGGAACAGGCTGATTATTACTTCTTCTAGGATTCGTTTTCCACAGAGTTCAACATGGAATCAGCTTGGCAAAGCAGAAATGTGCTTTACAGGGTCCCAGCCCTTGCAACAGAAAGTGAAGTGTACAAGTCTGTTTTAGAGCTAAGAGACAGTAGCTTAATAACTGGCACAATCTTTAAGAGTTTTTTGAGCTTTAAGATTCTGTTTGTCTGCGTATTAGATCTGCACAGGGTATTGAGTAAGAATCTTTATGGTTTGTCTTCTTTTGAGATGTTTTCTTTGTATGTGCCTTGATTCAGAGAGTAAATAACTTGTTTCAGATTTTTGATCTTCTACTCCCTGGCCTTACTTGAATGAATGAATGTACCTATTTTAGTCCTGTGCTCGCTTTGTTCTTTTTGTTATTGTTGTTATAATTGTTGTTTACAAGAGTTAAAAATAATCCCATTATTTTGTTAGAGATTTTTATTGAATAAGGGCTTTCGAATTGCCTAAAATAGTGTGTGCAATTGTCCTGGTTACAAATTAAGACACTTGGCATATTATTCCATGTTACTCTTTCAAATGCTGGAATTCAAATGTTTCCACACATTAACTTTTACATAGTTTTATGATTTCTTTCTTTGAATAATAAATCTGGGCTTTAAAAATATTCCCCAGCCTCTGGGGTATTTAACTGGCCCTCTGTTAGAACAGCCTTGTTAATCTAAGCTACTGCCTGACTTCCAAACTTGGTTAAACGTTCTTCTTATCCCCCTTTTAACATGGTTAATGTGCTTCTCTTTAACATGAAAATATTATTTGCTCACGAGGACTTCTTATGAAAGTAGACTTTATATAAAATGTGGTATTAAACTTTCAGTAGGAAATGGTCAAATAAATAGAGAATATTAAAAATGAGGTGTTCAAAGTGGAATGGTGAGTAGCTGAAGAGTACTTAAAAATGTCTGTTGATATAAACTAACAAACATATGAAAATGTAGTTGGTCACTTGTGTTTATCAGCTGAAACTTTCTTATAAAGAATCATCTATGAAAAAAATTTATTTTCCATATAAATGTATGTGATGGTCCAAAAATACGCATTCTCTAAGATCCAAATTGTGAAAATGAGTTCTAGTTAAGCTTAATGAAAGGGAGTAACCATGCCAGACCCCCAAATACAGCAAATTCTTTTCCACGGGTAAATTTATAAATATCTCTACGTGCTTGCTGAAAGTCCAACCTGAACAGAGCAGTTCGTACACTGGATTCTTTCATCCTGGTTCTGGGAAGCCACTGTTCTCGAGACATGTTCCAATGGTTCTTTTATTACGGCAGGTGTCCCTTTTCAAACAGGTCTCCCAAGAATAAGATTGTTTGTTTTTTTTTTTAGAATTCTCAACTTTGTTAAGATGCCATCTTATAGTCAGAGGACATCTGGAAATGTTGAAATTAGCTTTTAAAAAAGAGACTGCGGTTACCATACTCACTAATACTCTGGTACTCCAAACTCATTTATTAGCCTACTAGGGAGTTCTCGTCAAGGAAGTTAGAAGTTGGCTTTAATTGTTTTGTATCTGCCGCCTGAATATTCACGTTGAACTGATTTGTTTTTCTGAACATACCTAATGTATGTTAAGCCTGTGGAATAAAGCTCACACAGTGTAGTTTAGCCAAAAATAACCTGTTGGCTGGTAATTTTTAGAACTTGCACTATTTCTAAAAATATTAAAGGTGGTGTCCTCTAGTACTTAATATATGGCCTCTTTCCAGTCACTGGAGGAATAGTTTGTGAATAAACTGAACCCCTTTCTTGGGTTTTTCCTCATGGTTCCTGCTCTAGGCGTTTTCCTACCTGTTTAACTCAGGGTAAGTGGATAAAAGAAAGTAAGGTGAAATGAAAACTATGCTGTTTTTATTGTTGTTTTTATTTTATTGGCTCTGATAAAATGTTTCTTAAGAGGGTGAAGGCAAGAGGGTTCTGGGTTATCTAAGGATCTTTTTTCCCATTGTTTTCCCTATTTCTCTAGATCACTGAAAGTAGATAACAATGTTAGTTTCTTAAATGTCAAGATAGAGTATAGTTTATGTATGTTTAAGATATTTTAGGACTAAAATTTTAAAGAAAACCATTTTTATTTTTAAAAGTATATTCTGATGTAGCGTGTCATGTTCAACTTTTTCGGTAATTTCTTTTTCAATATTCACTTTAAGTTTTGAACTTATTTCTACATGATTGTTAGCAGAATCTGCTAATTATCCCCAATGTCCATTCTTTCCTTTTAGCGATAGAAGCTGCTAATCTCCAGCTGGGCACATGTCCTTGAGTTAGAGACTATATTTCTCAGTCTTGTTAGAGTTCGATGTGGTTATATGTCTAAGTTTTTACCTATGGCATGTGAGTAGAAATTATAAATGCACCTTCTGAGTCTTACCTTTAAACAAATTGGGTGTGCAGATCCCTCTATTTCGTTCCATTATCCTTGGGCTGGACCTTGACCATTGTGGCAGTGAGCCAGCTTCAACCATGCAGATGAGGGCAGTACTCTGAGCAGATATCTAAAAAACAAGATGGAAAGGCCCTGGTTTCTGGGTGACCCCAAGGAGCAGGCTGCCTTCCATTTTGCTCCACCTGCCTACCTCTGAATGTTACATGAGGGAGCAATAAACTCTACCTTATTTGAGCTACTGTATTTAGGGATCTTTTGTTACAAAAGATTGGTTCATACCCTAACTAATACAGATAGAATTTTAAGTGAATATTTTTCTGATGACTTGGAATTTCAAAGGAGGTTCTAGAGGCCAACACTCATAGATGCTAGAACATAGAGTATCTACATTCTAAACTTAAGCATTAGCCTTTCTGTGCAAGGTTGGAAAAGGGGGCTTCCAAAACTCAGTTCTTCTCTGATTAAACTATCACTTACCTTCTTCCTATGTAAAAGAAGTCTGGGGATTATTGAGGATTGAAAGATGGAGGCCGGTATTGAGTATTTCTTGGGAGACAGATGTCAGTGTTTTATGATGTTTCCTCTCCCACCTTTGCTGTGAAGAGGAGAGTGGTGCTGGCCTCTACCTCAAGTTGAGTGATGGGGCCTTGAAAAGAAGCATTTAGAGAACTTCACATATGGCACTGGAAATTTAGGGAATATAGGGCCTGGCAACTGTCTCCCTCCTAAGAGTCTTAAGTCAAAAGGCTGGCTCAAGGGGCCTACTGGTAAAAAACCAAAGGAGAGGGATGTATTGAGGTCGTCCTGTCCTCCAGACTTTGGTTGGGCAACCCTCAAAGGAGTCAAAGAACTTTGCCCATTTTTAGCAAGTAACTGAATATAAAGCCTTTATGGACACCTGTATGATGCCGGGTGGGTCTCTTTGTGGTCCCCACCTGGTTGAGCATGAGCTTCAGGATAAATTTACAGTGTCATATTCATGGGCTATGCATTAGGTTTTATGGAGGACAGTGAAACATAAGGTGAATCAATCAGAGTCTAGTCAAGAAATAGGAACGCCTTATTTTAACAGAGAATTTCATAAAGAATTCTTAACCAGATACCTGCTTTAAGTCTGGGGATATAAAAGGGAAGAGCTTGGTCTTTTTAAAATTTAGAGGCTTGGAGGAGGAACCCTGAGCTGGGACTCAGACCTCTGAGGAGGGATCATTGCCTGATCGGTGCTGGTACTTCAGGAGTATGGGAACTGGCTGAGAACTCTGGGGAGCGGCACTGGCCATCTGGTACTGGTATCTCTGAGGGACACAGTGAAGGTGGTTTTGAGAATGAAACTGCAACCTGCTGTGTCAGGATCAGCTATTTCTGCTGAAGGTAAAGTGTCATTGCTGGATGATGCTGACAGAAATGGGCAACATACAGGAAGGAGCAGGTTCTCCCCCCCTCTTCTTTTTCTTAGTCTCCTTTGAGTGATCCTGTTGACAGGGTACAACAAGGAGCCATGTATTCCTTTTGGATCGGATCCTGGTTTGAATGATCCCAGGCCAATATACCTACAAAGAATTCCATATTTTGTCTTCAAGATTCACACATTTTGATCAGCCATTGAAGGGGGAGTGCAATTACTTCCCAGATGCAGCCCTGTCTATTCTGCTGCCATATCTGCTTAGCTTTCTCAGGAGTACGTCATTCACTAGATGATTGTGTCCTCCAATTGCAGGGAATATGTGAAAAGTTTTCTAGGTGGCTTTGTTTATTTTTAGTCCTTCTCTCAAGTCTTGGGGAGAAGTGAAAATACAACCCATACTTTTTCTGGAGTGGGTTGGATTTACAGTTTTCTTCATGGAAATCCTCTTCACAAATACTTTCCTAATCCCCATCAATAAAATCCTTTATAGCCTTGATAAAGGTGAATTATCTATCCATTTCTTAGCCACCTATTTTGAAATTTCTTCATGGTGTGAATGGCTCTGGCACTGGTGAAGAACCAGATGTTGAAGATACATGTGAAGAGTTTGAATAAAATTGTTTCATCAAACTCTAAGTGGAACAAAGCAATATTTCTAGATTACTATGTAGTGTTATGTAATACGTGATTTAAGTATATAACTAAATTAGTAAATTTAATGCTATAAATAGGCACGTGCTGATTCCATCTACATACATAAAAGTTTATATATTCATTTTGGAAAAAAAAACCTCTTTTAATTGGATGCGCCACGGAGAAAATAGATCACTTTGTATTAAGGATAGCCTTATATCTAGGCATATATGTTGGCACATAAATGTGTCATAAACTACTGCTTATGTAGGCAAAAAGCCATAAATCAATATTTTCCTCTCCTCTTTGTATTTAAATATGCCAAATAATACAAAGTTGAAGTTTCTACTGCCATTTTTCATACCTTTGATGAAGAATCTGTATCACAAATATGTGGTTACATTTCAACAATTCTTACCCAATGAGTTTCTTCCTAATGGTGGATTATATATTTCTGGGATTTAAATACCTGGCATTTGGAATTTCATTTTGATGAAAACACTTTTTATTTTTGGATCTCATACTCGTTTATTAGTCTTTTAAATGTCTTTTGAGTAATGAGCGTTCTAATTTAACTTGCACTGAGACATTAGCTTACTAATCTGAATCTTTCATTGTTTGACTCTGATTTAATCTTTAAGAATTTTAACATTAATAAGAATTTAGAAATATATTAAAATGTCTACTATCATAGTATCTTTTTAGAACTTCCAGGTGAAGCTCTTCTTAAATAGTTTCCATTTCTCTGCAGTCCTTCCCCATCTGTCTACTCATCATGTCTGTTGTTTTCCTAAGTATTCGGACATATTTATAACAGCCTCTTTAAGGTCTTTTTTGCTACTTTCAACCTCTGAGGCATTTCAGGACCTTTTTCTATTGACTGCTTTTTATTTTGATATGGGTAGGGTTTTATGTCTTTTATTAAATGTGGAAAGTTCCGAGAATGTTACTTGGTATGAATATTCTATTGCGAAACAAACTGTGAACAGGGAGACTTCAAACCTGAAAGTGACATGAAGCTCAGAGGCATGATGTTACAGGATGGCTTATAAAGTGAAAATGAGGAAGTTGTTTAACCTTTACAATGATTGATTATTGCTATGGAGATTTCCAGATGGCAGGGGTTTGGTTAAAAGTGATTATGCTTGGGGGATTTTCAAGCTTAGTCTCCATTTTATTTTATTTTAACACTCTCTTTCGTAACATGGTAATGAAGTGACTTAAGAGGGAACCCCAGATGGCTTCAGGAGGGAGCTGGTTACCAGAGGGTTAGAACTTTCACCCCCACTCACTGGCCTCCAGGGAGCAGAGAGGGGCTGGACATTGAAATCAATCAATAATGGGCAATGAGTTAAGCAATTGTGCCTACAGTACGAGATCTCCATAAAATCCCTAAATGAATGGGTTTGGAGAGTTTCTGAGCTGGTAAACACATTGTCATGCTAGGAGAGTGGCTCCCCTGGAGATAACTTGGAAGCTCTGTGCCAGCCCTCCTCCCCCATACCTTGTCCTATATGTCTCTTGCATTTGGTTGTTCCTGAGTTGTATCCTCTATAATAAATCAGAAAATGTAAATAATGTGGTTTCTTGAGTTCTGTGAGCCATTCTAGGTAATTATTGAACATGATGGGGCTTGTGGGAACCTCTTAATTTGTAATTGTCTGGGCAGAAGTGTGGGTAGCCTGTGATAAACAAATGAAATGCAACAGGATATATTGGAGTTTATAAGGAAGCCATCTGGTTTAAAACTAATTCAGCCTAACTTTGATTTTTCCAAAAGGGCCTGACGTGGCCTGTTGAGCATACAGTGTACATCTGCTTTAAACATTTACTAGGTCTCAAAGACAAGAATGATGCCATTAAAGATAAGGATGTAGCTTCCCCCCATATCAGCTTATCCTTATGGATAAGCATCTCTTCCTGGACACTAAGGATTAATTACTGACCTGCTGTGCTCACCTTGTGACCACTGACCTGCTGTGACAGCTAAGCATCTAGACAATAGTAAAAGGGACATTCCTGCCATGTCTGATGTATGCTCTTTGTTCCAAGACAGCATATAACTGCTCTGTACACCCCACTTCTTTGGGTGTGTTTCCTTCCTTGGGGAGGGAAGCCTCCCTGGGCTGTAGTTCTCAGACCTGGCTCATAATAAACTCACCCCAAATTTTGATTTATAGATTGATTATGAATTACTTGCACTGACACCTGGGCACCCTATTTGCAGCTGGCGTCTGAAATAGAGGCAGTCTTGTGGGACTGAGCTCACAACCTGTGGGGTCTGCACTAACTCTGGAAATTAGTGTCAGAATTGAATTGAATTGTTGGACACCTGGTTGCCGTCAGAGAATTGGTTGTTGGTGTGGAAAAAACTCCACATAGTTGGTGTCAGAAGAAGTGTCAGAAAGAAAAAATCACACAGGTGTCTTTTTGGGATGATGAAAATGTTCTGCAATTAGTGGTGATGGTTCCACAACTTTGAGAAGATACTAAAAGACACGAAATTGTACACTTAAAACAATTACTCTGCTTTGAGGATGCAGGAGCTAACCTGAAAGAACCAACAGCCAAAGCTGGATTCATTTGAACAACAAAATAAATAGCAATAGTATTGGATTATAACTCAAGGAATAAGATAAATATCTATGAGGCCATACTGACATAAATAAATAATTGAATAAATAAACAAATGGAGGAGAAGGGACAAATCTTCCTTACAAAATAATTCCAAATAATACATGTAAAAGGAACGTGGGAAATAGAAAATCAAAATTAGCACACCATAGTAATAATAGCTGTAGGCAAATTTCCTGATGAATGCTAAAATTAGCGGGCAACACTTTAAGGAGAAACAGAGTATTTGCATGGCCTGAAAGGATCTCCCCTGAAATATTTATGAATTATTGTGATGATTTAACATCCATCCACAAATGCTTTGCTATTCCTCCTGTTAGCTGGCAGTGCTTAATTCTTCCCACTTCAGGGTGGTCTTGATTTTAGTGACTCACTTCTAGTAGATTATGGAAAGGGAAAAATAGTGTAATTTTATAGTCAGAAACCTGGCTAACATTACCTTAACCAAGTGATTAAGGTTACCATCACTAAGCAAGTCATGTTGATATCATGTATCTTGCAATATGATGTGATGATAAGGTACTTCACCTCTACTCAAAATCTCTTCTGGAGATTTCCTGACCCTGGTACAATCATGAGAAAATGTCAAGCAAGCCGAAATTGACGAATATCTACAGAAGACCACACCAGTCCTCTTCAG